ATCCTTTTGGAGTGAGGGAGGAAATACTATGTTTCCGTACTCTAAATGGGGACGGATAAAACTGTTGAAGATTATATGAAAAATTTCTTCCGTCACACTGGCCAAAAATGCGCTTCAATGTTACCAGTGCAAGGTTTGCTCGGAAGGCATTTTTGTCACAGTTGGCGTAAGACTTTAAATCATGGGACACCAGGACTCCTGAATCTTTTTCTACTTGGGATACTACTAGAGAGGAGTTTCCTAAGTTAAAACTGTAGTCTGCGATATGTCGCAGATGGACTACCTTACACTTTGAAGTGTTGAAAGTAAGTCCATTATTATCTGCCCAATTTTGGAGTCGAGTCAGATCCTCCTGAAGTGCCTGTATATCGTCTTGGTTGCGTATCTCTCTCCAAAGTTTCACGTCGTCGGCAAAAAGTAATAAGTCTGATGTTACCTGTTGAGGAAGATCATTTATGTGGATCAAGAAGAGAAGAGGCCCTATTACTGGGCCCTGGGGGACCCCACTACGACATTCCATAGCCTGAGATAAAGTGAAATTAACCCTGACCGTAAAATGTTGATTTTTCAGATTTGAAGTGAGTCAATCGATTAGAGGTGGTCTGATGCCCAATCGTATGAGCTTATTGATAAGACATGTATGGTTAACCTTATCAAAAGCTTTTGAGAAATCTAGGTAGATGATGTCAACCTTTCCCTTGTGATCAAGGATGCTTGTCCATCTGTCCACCGCAGTCAGCAGGTCGGTTATACAAGAATAGGCCTTCCCGAAACCATGCTGTTGGGGTGAGAAGAAATTCAAGGACAGTAGATAGTCGTTTAAACCGTCGCATATCAGGGACTCCATGAGTTTTGAAGGTAATGACAGAAGAGCCACCGACCGATAACTTGAAGGTTCATTGCGTCGACCTCCTTTGAAAATTGGCGTGATGTGAGCCAACTTCCAATTTTCCGGTAATTTGCCTCGGTTTAGCGAGTGTGAAAACATCACGCTAAGCGGCGTTGCCAGGATTGAGGCTGCTTCCCTCAGTATGGCAGGATGAACCATATCCGGGCCAGGAGAAGTATCTAGTCTTAAGTGCTGCAGTTTCCGGAACGCCAAGTCAGCGCTTAGGTTCACTTCGGGAAGTCCTATGGAATTGCAGATGAAACTGTCTTCAGTAAAGCCGATGTCGGTCGGTTGAAATGTCTGAGAGTAATATTCAGCCAGAAGGTTAGCGGCGTCGCCATCGTTGTTGGTCGGGCCGTTAAGACCTAGCAGTTGAGAAGCTCCAGTTTTCGCTTGACGAAGAAAAGCTGCATAACGGAATAAGCTTTTAGGATTAGAGGCAAATTTGTCCATAAGCTTTGTCTGGTACTGAAGCCTGTCTTCTCTTATAGCCTTCGTGCATATGTTCCTTATATGTTTATATTGCCTGTACTCTCCGTCGTTGTCAGTTCGTTCGTATTCCACCCAACAGTGCTTTTTGCGGCTTAGCAGGCGAAGGGTACAGTTCATGATTACTGTAGGTGGCTTGCAGCTTTTGGGAACCGTTTGAGAAACTGGATGGTTTGTAGCACATAAGAGCGTGTGCAGTAAGAAGTCCCAATGACCATCCACATCGAGTTGAGGGTGAACATCCCAATCAACCTGTTGTTGACAGTCGTGTAGAGCTGGCACATTCAGCCGTTTAAAATTCCAACGCAAGTTATTGGTGGGATATCATAGCTTAGTTTTGCTGACAAAACTGAAGGCTATGACGGCATGATCGCTTTTTCCCAGAGGAGCCAGGATTGAGAGGTTGTCAATTAGAAATTTTTCGTTTGTGAATACACAGTCTAAGCGCGATGGTGTCTGACTGTTTCTCCAACGAGTTGCCAACCTCACATTTTCGTATAATCTCAAGTCATCGATGAGGTTGAAGAACCGAGCTTCAGTTGGTTTATCGCCTCCAGTATACGTGTGATCTGCGAAGTTGACTCTAGGGAGATTAAAGTCCCCTAGAATCAGGATGTGTGTGAAACCGAGACGAATAGAGCGGGATAGTCCTTCCAGCATACGACTATCGTACTCAATGTCGGCAGTTGGCTTCCTGTAAATGACTCCGACTAGACACCTCGAAGTACTAGACAATCTAACAGAGCACCATATGGATTCCTCAAGATTGTTGAACTCGAGGTTATGAACTCGGTGCACCTCCAAGTAAGAACGTATGTGTACGGCTACTCCGCCCCCAATTCCTGATTTTCTGTCGTTGCGAAACAAAGACATCCCAAGTAATGCTAACTCTTGGTCCGAGAACTGAGAAGATATCCAGGTTTCAGATATTGCTATCAGACGGGCCTTATTAGCGTTGCTAAGTTCACGTAATTCATCCAATTTGTTTGGTAGATTCGCGGCGTTCATATATAAGCAGTTTATGCCTTCACTTTGGAACGCGTGAGCTTCTTCCTGTTTGTCTGTATGAGTCTTAAATGGATGGACAGGTAGCCAACCCATATGAGGTTTGCTGAGGTGGTAGGCCCTGTCCTTTACACGTTTTTTAATCATCTAGACAGTCCACAAGTGGAATGGCCAGCACCATCTTGCCTTTGTGTTTGGTCCTATCTTCGTATGGCCTATCCGGATGCACTTGAATTCCAGGTGGAAATCGACGTCTGTTGGCACGAAGTGCTTCCAGAGTTGCAGCCGCCACGTGGGAGGTTATCTTCATTAGACGCGGTCTAGGATCACCATCCTTCTTGGCTAGTCTCGTCACGTGCTGAGTCGGTATGTTTTTGAGCCCCAAGGACTGTCTAGTGAATTTCCATTCCTCGATGTCAGAATTTGGTTGAGTAGGGTCCGTATTTTCCGGTATACCTTGCACAATTATGTTTGTTCCTCGGAAAAACTGATCGCGAGATTCTTTAGGGGTGTTCCGTATGATATTGCGCTCTGAGTGCGGTATATCGGGCAATATTCTTACGTTCCCATCGGATTTCAGCAAGTGACTGGCTAGCAAGACGTCCTCTACGTCGGTAGCATTCTTAAGTGTTACTTGAAGAAGCCTCGGGTGAGTTAGATGCTTAGAATCCTTTCCCCGAGTGAGCAATGTGACTGTCAAAGGCTCTATTCTAGGAAGTTCGAGCTTCTTGTTCACTTCACCCCAGAGCATCCTATCATTTTTGTCCTGCAGACTGAGAGGAAGGTCAGGATTGTCAATGAGATTCATGATTATGAGAGAATCGTCACGAACTGTTGTTGATTTACCAGGTTCCCGATGGGTTCAGGTTTTCTAACTTGTTGTTTGGAGGTCAAGGCACGTTTTTGAATCTTGGGCTCTTTGATGACCGGACGAACATTCTTGGGGGCAGACTGTGCGACCAGATCACCAGTTGACTTCCATTCAACATCTGGGATGTTCAACTTAGACTGTGACGCCTGGTCCTTTTTAGCTCTTTTGACATGGGTCCAATCACCTACAGAGTTCCTGGGAACCACTGTCGCGTTCAAGGACCTTGAGCTGTGAGACCCGAGTTTGCTGAGGGAGTCGAGTACCATCATCGTAATCATGGTGCTGACTTTGAGCGTGTCATTATTAATGCTGTTGCATGCTCCGTCGTTGGTAGACCTGTCGACATCCCTGTTCTCGTTTTCAATGCGCTCTCTTGCTTGTCTACCCATTTTTTGACTGTCTATTCACAAGTTTGCCGACAACTTACTCTTCAGACTTGTCAGTAGGACAATGGTATTACTCAGCAAAACTACAGAATCCGTGCTGCACGTAACACGTTCCCACTTATGATCCGACTTGCTGAGTCTGTTGTAAGCAGTTGCCGTCAGATCGATGCACGCTTCATGGAACCAACCTTTGCAGTTGTCGCACTCCATGCCAGTTGTAACAGCAAAACGGCATCCCGGACGTTTGCATGAGTTTTTCATGACTTTGTTGAGGCAAACTATTTTATAGATGCTTGCAAAAGCCTAATACCTTTAAAAACACTAAAAAGCACACTGAAAACGGACAAAAATGGATAAAAACGAATGAGATAAACTGAATCAGTCTTTACGTGAAAAACAAAAAAACCTAATAGTAAGCTGAGGCAACACCATAGTTAACTATTAAATATGGTGAGACTCAAAAAAGTAATCTACCGAACGTATAGCTCAGGATAGACTCTTTAGAACTGAAATGGCACTTTTGTTGCGTAAGAACACAGCAAAAGTTTGATAAATGCAAATCACGTTAGGACCGAACTTCCCATTCGAAAAGCGCGCGGAAGAACGCCTCCATTCACTAGACCTTTACCCATTAGAGTATAGGCGTCTTAGAGGTGATTTATTAATGGCTTATAGTATTCTTAACACTTCTGGACATCCTCTTAAACACCTACTTAAGCTTAGTTCGAATAATAACTTAAGGGGTAACACCCAGAAACTGGAAACACAACATAGCAAGACGGAATGTAGACACAACTTCTACTCCTTAAGAGTTGTCAAATGCTGGAATTCACTGTCAGCCGATCTAGTCCAAGCGACTTCCCAGGAGTCCTTCTAGTGGCAACTTGACCTATTCTTAAGGACCAAGGACAGCATCATACTAGGATTTACCAATTTCTTTTCCTCTTTTATTGTTAACATACCTAGGTTCCTGCCTAGAGGATTTGGTGATCCGCTGCTACTAGACACGGAAGCCTGTTAAGCGAAAGCTTCTTCTATTCCGTCCACAACCATTTGAACCATTTAACCATTTGAATCATTTGAATCATCAACGAGTGAATTCATCTTCTCAACACATGATTGTAGCTCCATCTGTTGACTCTTTGAAACAAAGGTTGAATCAACCGAGAGACCATAATTATGAGAACCAATACAAGTCATCAAATCTCCTGTCCTTCCCAAACAGAAACCGAAACTAAAAACTGAAACTTCAGATATTCAAAACAGCCATTGTCACTAACCGCTGAAGGTTACTAAAGACGGAAAGGTGGTTAAATCGTTCGTTTTCTACTCATAGTCGTTTTGCGTCTCGTTCGTCCCAATGCTTCATGAATTCGCTGGTTGGTATAGAAGGTGGCGATTCGGTGAAGGGACACGTATTGATTTAGTTTTAATTGGCCCACCAGGTAGTGGAAAAGGGACTCAGGTAAATCTATATTAATCTATATGTACGAGTTTGTAGGCAGTCAAAATAGCTGAACGTTATAAAATCTGCCATTTATCTACTGGTATGCTTCTGTGTTTCTTTGAAAATTTCTTTAGGAGATATTCTTAGAGCCATTATAGCGTCAGGATCAGAACTTGGTCAAAAAGTACAGAAAATTACGGAATCAGGAGGACTTGTTTCAGATGACATAGTTTGTGACCTAATCGCACAAAAAATCAATTCTCCGGAATGTAAAAATGGACTTCTATTCGACGGGTTTCCACGCACACTAGAACAAGCCAAAAAAGTATGTTCATGAGATTGCATATGCAAACTGCAGCTTGATAACCTTCTTAGAGATCGTCAGATTCATCTATCGGCTGCCTTGGAATTCAAGCTCGATCCTACCATCTTGGAAAAAAGGATTTGTGGCAGGTTATTCCACTTAGCTAGTGGTAGGTCTTATCATGAATTGTTCAATCCCCCGAAAGTCCCCATGGTAGATGACGTAAGTTACATTTTCTTAATAATATAAATGTCTACTTATCGTGCCTAATAGATAGTTCTTATGTACATTGTTGTGTAAGCCTTTTGATGTAGACAATCGAGTTATTATTTAAGTCGTGATTGCACGCACTATACGTATATTTCAATGTAATCAAATAGATAACGAACTAAATTATTCAAACTACTTTTTTGTCTACCCTGGGTTCTGTGCTTCTGAATTCCTCAAGTTTTTTGTTTCTCTGATTTACGTTCTTTTGATTCGTTACTTCAATCGTCAATATTTTCTATTGCCAGTGGTACTGATACCGTTTCTACTACTATGGTTCACCCTAGCAATTTCATCCCGCTGTGCTAGTAGTGTATGGCAACCTTAGTCAATGCACATACGCACCAGGTTGTGCGTTGAAATTGACTGGTCTGAACTTTTTTTCAAGTTGTTCTCGTGAAGGTTCGTTAGCTGGTGTTATAATGTCTTTCGACTCCTAATCTTTGGGCTAATTGCAACACTGACTTAGTTTAAGGCTCTTTAGAGATCTTTTCTCTTACTTAGAATTTCCACCGTCATGTCTGCATTGGTCTTCATATGGTGGCAAAGTGAACGGATAGGTGAGATAATCTGACCGTTCAAAATGCATTGTGGTAATATATAACAGTCTATAAAACTTCATCTTTTTGAATTACCGAAATATTATATCTTTTGCCTTTTGTGCGTGACGAACTACCCATTCATTCTATTCTATTGTATTCTAGTGGTCATGTTTGATAGTCAGATTTCCTTTTGTAATGTTATTCGGGTGTGCTCGAGATCGTTTGTACCTAACATCATATGTTAGATGGTATTTAGGACCGCTCCTTATCTCATCCAATCCTTTTACTAAGGACTATTGTCTCCAGTCCATGTGTTAAGATTGGTAAAATTATGGATTCTACAAGTTTTGTTTCAGTATTCCGACTCATACCATTAGCTCGCCATACTGGACTTATTTTTATTGTGGTATGTTTAGCTTTTATCAGGTTGACATTATTCGTGTCACTAGGGTGACCTTCGCTTCGAACTATCGATCCCAGGTACTTAAGAGAGTTTGCCTCCTTTATCGTGCTATCACCTATGGTGACTGGTGAGTTATTGTTTTGTGTGTTTATAATCATAGTTGCCGTATTTTCGTGAGAAATTTTCATACAAAGTTAACTAAGGAAGTTTTGTAGCAAACTCAATGTTCTTGTTTCGTTAGTTAATGTTGGAATTAGTCATAAATCATCTGAATATGCAATATATGATATTTCTTAGCTCATATTTTGAATTTATCAGTCATTTTTAGGCCTCTAGTGTTTTGTCCTTTGGAGGAGCTTAGGACATTTATTGTAAGACAAGATTAAAGAGTGGTTGATCATCCTTACTACCTTGCTTTACCCCTCTATGAGTAACGAAATATGAGTTAGTTCCTCCTAAACGACGTTTCAGTTCATCGAAAAATCCTATTATGCATTGGTTTATGTTTAGCTGGGAACATGTTTTATTTAAAGTGTTTTGAATTAGTTGTTTAGATGGTGTCGAATGCTTTAACTAGATCCAAAGCTTTGGTACTAGTTCTTGGTTGGTATCCAGGTCATTTTGTACGATATATATCATTGACTCTGTTGCCACCACCGTGGAAAAGTTGCTTCGTAAATTGAATCGCCTAGACGGTCTATTATGATTGGTGAATTTGATTAGTTGTTCACATATGATTCCAACGAATGTTTTTCCTATGGTATCTATTAGGAATATACTGCAGTCGTTATTGAGGTCTGTTTTGATCCAGTTGTTCATATAGACAATGGTTATATTGTCATCTATCAAGTATCTTGGTTTTTTATCTGGGTTTGACCAAAGCACGTTCATTATTCTTCATTGTTTATACTTCGGTTTTCTTCACACCATACTTATTCATTTCTATTGTTATCCCGTTATTACCTGAAGAATTCTTATATTTTATTTGCCGTGCTCTTTTCATAGGTGTTTAGAGGTTCTGACCCAGCTTCATTATAAGTTCTGCTTTCAGTTAGGCTTACTTCAGTTCCATTAAAGTCCTTGGTAGTGATCGTTTGGGGTGATATCGATCTTTTGGCTTTGTTTTACTGAGTGTCGAGGGTTCGGTTTATAAATATGACCAGTCTATCTCGGAGAATGCTATTCGTCTTGACGTAAGCGTTCTTCACGTTTAGGTATTAGGTCTTGTATGGTAACTTCACCTTTTTTCTGGACTCATTTACGTTTATTTTGATCAGAACAACATATGTAAGCGAACAATATTGTTTTCAATGAGATCCTCATCAGGCTTTATTCCATTATACAGTAATATTTATATACATATGTGAATTATTAAACCAACCAAGGCAGTTTATGAGCCAATGATAAAAGTGGAATAGATTACATAACTGGACATAATAAGTAAGAAGTTTAATAATTTCATATAATCATATAAATAGTACTGTATATTATATTAAAGCCTGGTGAGGATCTAGTTGAAAACAGTATTGTTTGTTTATATGCGTTGTTCTAATTCATAATATTGGAATTTTTAAAGTTACTTTGGTCAGTTTGATTAATTAGCCCTTTCTTTAGCTCTCTTGGTTTTTTATCTCCTGTTTAAGAAGTCTATATACTTCCGCCATTTTTTGTTAATTGCTTAACCGGGGGTTTATTTGAAGATACCTTTTGCAACATTAAGGATATTGGTTTCTGTCTGGGCTAGGTCAGAGTGTTCTTCTAGAGCTGTCTCAAGTACTTTAATTTATGCGTCTAGTTTTGTTTACATTGTTTCTGATGCTTTATTTCGTTTTTTGTGGTATATATGATGCTTAGAGTTATTATGATTCAGCATCTTAGCCATTGATGTTGCAGTGAACGAAAACATAGGTGGGGACAACCAAGGTATTTTAATACAAAATTACAGAGTATCTTGGCAAAACATATGAACCATGCACTGAATACTTCATTTGCGAATTTCCATCATTTGTCCTTCAAATTCCGCATAATTCTACAAGTTCACAATTCATTCTCATTTTCCCTTCCATTCTCTCCAACTTGATTGTCTTAATCTTCTGCTGCCAGGTTTTCCACGTCCGGTTGGCGTCAATACGACTTATATCGACAAATATAAGTAGCATACACCACCACCATAGTGGACAGCCTTGCCGGACACCATTTGAGATTGCAAAATCAGATGACAGTTCGCCATAAGCTCTGACTCAACTCTTAGTGTTCGAGTAAAGAGACTCCACAATGTTTATGTACTTCTAAGGTACACCTTTCAATGACAGACTGCTACAGAACCTCTCGGTTTACAGCGTCAAATGCTGCTTTCAAATAAAAAACTGATTATCGGACTCCTGTGTTCTAAGATCTGACAAATGGCGATTATGTGGTCGATGCAGCCACAACCAGGTCTGAAGCCAGCCAGTTCACGAGTCTTTGTAAGGCGTCCGATAATTATTGAGGCTAGTATTTTAGATGCCATATTACTCAAACTAATCCCTATGTAGTTGTCATAGGATGATTTTGACCCTTTATATATTGGGACAACTAGTGATTGTGACCGGTTAGATGGGATTACATCTAACTCCCAGATTTTAGCTAAAATTGGACCACAATACTTGAAGACTTCTGGAGTCGATCCTTCTGGACCAGGTGATCCCCTAGTTTCAACTTAGTTATAGCTTTCTGAACTTCAATTAGAGTCGGGGGATCTATCTCAATGTTCCATTCAGGCTGCTTGGAAATAGTGGCTAGCTTAAGACCAGCTGAACTGCTCTTTAAAGTGTTTTGCTCATCGTTCTAAACGTCTGGGAGCAGGTAAGGGTGTCGTCTCTTTCTGAGATCGTCTCATTTAAACTTCACTTTTTAATTCCAGTATCTTGTACTAGTTTGAAAAGCTGTCTGGCGTTACCTAAAACTGCTGCCTTTTTCGTCCTTTTCTTTCGTTGCCCACTGCTACTCACAGCCGTTCCTTAGACTTTTGGTTAACTTAGATTTGACTTCTTTACGCTCTTCATCATGTTCAGAGCCTGATAGAGTGAGTTTACGAAAATCTATCAGTGGAATAAACTGAGTAGAAATCCATTGGTTTTTCGTAATCCTTTGGTTCAAATCACTACTAAATGTCACTGCTATTTCCACAGATGTTTGTATATCTTCCCAAGCAACATCTGGGTCAGCCTCGTTTTCAGAACTGCCTAAGTGTTACCTCAGTTGTTCCTGGAATCTGTTGTCGGCTTCCTTGTCACTGAGTTAAAGTCTAATGAGTCTTCTTAATGTGGCATTCCTGCGTCCAGAGAGGCGCAAGCAAATGCGTGCTCGCTATGTTAGACAATGTCTCTTCTTATGGTTAAAATTAGTATTTGTTAGAAATAAATGGTTGCCTGAACATAGTTGCAACAGACAGTCACCATTAACCGTTCTTTGAGCCAAAACAGCAAGACATCCACTTAAATGTCTTTCTGTTTGTTTTAAGCTACCTGGGTATTAAATTCACCTGCTGTGAGTATTATGTTTGAGCGTTTAGCTTTATGAAGAAGTTCAGAAAGATTTCTGTAAAAGTCATCTTTCACTTCATCCGGGCTCCAGTCAGTAGGAGCATAGGTAGAAATGACGAGAAGGCAACGATGTGTGTCAATATTTTTCCGAGTTCCTACAGAGACGTTTATCCAAACAGCACATAGACAACTCTTAACGGGGATCCATTCCAATAATGCTTGTTCTGCCCTCGTACTTAGTGCTATACCTACACTCGCCCGTCCACGAGGACTAGCCGTCGGGTCGCCAGGTGCACGGAGGGTGTATCTCACCGGCTCCCGGTTTTTGCGAGGTGAGGTCAAGTGTTTCGGAGACACAGCATGCATCAATGGTGCAAGACTAGGGTTTTAGCCAAGGAGGCTTGCTGGCTGATTTGACATAGGTTGCGTACGTTGAAGACTCCAATGTTTAGTTTGGAGCGAGGTTTGAGTAAACCCGGGACAGTGTTTCTTGCACTATAATCGTTGGCCATAGTGAAACTTGAGGAGGAAGTGTTGAGTTGAGTCGACATAGGAGGAATAATAGGAATTGATAGGGAGATTACAGCAATCTTGAATTCCGTCAGAGGTATGAGGGCGGTTATTACTTCCCGGTCGCTCACATCGTGGAAGGGTTTTCCTGGAGGTGCCTGATAAGGAAATAGGGTTAGTGGTGGTCTTAGTGACCTGAGAGCGCGACCGTAGTACCCAAGGGACAACTGCTTGAGGTCAGTCACACATGACTTTTTTGTGAGTAATTTTCGTGTTAGCTCTGTACTTGTTGAGGCCTTACCACCGGAGACGGATATCCATGGGATAAGACGAAGTGTGCATTTTTAGGGTCGACCTTTACTACAGGAAAGTGCAATTTTTCCCCCAAGGCAATTTCTTACTTTTCATCGTATGTAAAGATCTTCATGAATCCGGATAAGATTACACAAAGGTATGCTGGACTGTTTTTTGTCAGTGTTATAAACAACTTACACTAACATTAAATTGTTAATAAAAGTATATTGGTTTTTTCGAATATGGATTTATTCATCATTGAGTTTTGTTATTGGGCTGAACATTGAAAACTTGTTAGCACATTCAGATAAGACCAAGAAGTTAATGCTCCATAAAAATAATTCATTTTATTCTAATCTATAATTTTGATTTTTTCTTAAAATTTTCGAGACCTATTTTGATAATAGTAATCAGGATATTTTCATTGTTTTACTGGAGCAGTACACGCTTTAAGATGGAAATGAAATACTTAACAAAATATCTACTCAATTAATTACCTAATTGTGCGCCTTAGTTCTTTCTTTTTTTTTCTTAACGATCGAAATAATTTTTGCTGCTTGATATCATTTGTAGATTACTGGTGATCGTCTCGTCCATCGCTCCGATGACAAACCTGAAGCTTTGAAAAAGCGCTTGTATGAGTATGAGAAAAATGCAACACCTATTTTACATTTCTATGAATCTCAAAATAAACTACTTCGAATAAACGCAAACAAAGATGTTAATCAGGTGTTCAGTGATATTCAGGAACTTATTCGTGTGAAATTAGCAGAGGGACGATAGGCGTATAAAATGTTCTTAGTGATCTTATTTTAGTGTTTAAATTAAAAGACTACTTTGAACAATATCTACCACTATACTTTCCTGGGTTTTTATTGATGGATAGTTTCCCTAAAAACAATAACCAAATTATGTGTAGTTTTGCTTTCTCGAGATTAATTTTGTGTATTGCATAATAAAGACCTCCAATTATCATATACCGTATTTTCAATCAAATTTTTAGGTTTTCGTCCGCTTCAACCCTTCACATTATTAGTTCAAAAAGAATTAAACGTCCTGCTTTCTCAGGACGTTACGTTTGTAATTACTTTACTTATTTCTTGAGGTTTATGGTAGTTCCTAGTAATTCTAAGTAAAGTTCTCCATATTGCATAAAATAATTCTTTATTGCTATTATGTTTGTAGTTACTGATCTTGAAAGTATCATCAGCTTTGGTGAGATTTAATACCACTTCGTACCTTTTGTTTCTCGAGAGTTGCTATTTATCGTGTACTGATATAGTATGGAAACTTAGATTGAAACATTTGTGACAAGGCCCTGTGCTGATTATATCCGACTGTGTTATAATTTATTTGTATTGGTTATTTGAGTCTTCCCGTACATTTTCAGGACTGAAATTGATCAGTCTTTTTTTGGTATATGTGCATCCTGTGCGGATTGCTTCGATATTCCTATCAAGTCACAAGCGCTGATTTTCCCATTTTTAACCAATCAACTCTAGTGGATGGGCTGAAAAGACTCGAATATTCTTGTGTTAAGTTTATTTACACACTGACGTCTGGTTACTTAACTGAACTTGCTGTTTTGCTTTAGAACAAATTTATGCTCTGTCCACGTTTTGTTTTGATTTGGGGACCAGTCAAGTGGAGTTTCCGAGAATATTAGGCCGAAAGAGGAGGCCTAACAGTTATCTACGTATAAAATGTCGGTATTAAGAAATGTGAGAGCTGGCGATATACGATTTGAAATGACAACTTATGTAGTAAAAATTTTGTGACAGTAAATTATATAGTGTAAACACCTAGTCATGGGATTTAAATACGTTTCTTACGATATTTTGTGTCAGTGACAATCATTCAGTTTAAGTATTCTAATTTTTTTTATTGGAATATAATCAACAAAATTTATTCCTATTGATTACACGGGGTCGACATCAAATAGCTTCATCTGCAAAAACTAGTGTTCTCATTCTAATTGCCGGGGAAAGGAAGAAAGATAAAATAGTTTCGTTCATTGTATTAAAGTCAAATTAGAACTAAATTATTAGTACGGTGCACGAACTTATAAGTGAGTTACCCTAAGCAAGGCTACTATTTTGATTGGTGGCTCGTTTATTGTGACTACCCAGTCGAGGTGCAGTGGTTGGAATCTTAGTTCCTTAGTGTTCTACCATACTAGGCTGTAGATAGCAATAAGGCTTTAAAAAAATCTGAGGGTGAAAGTAATACCATCTGTTCTGCGATGTAATGGGAGTAAAGTGTCCCATGGAATCCTGCCTTGTCACAACAAAACGAAGGGTTTTATTCGAAAAATAGCGCACCTCGTCTCACGGACTCCCATCGCTAGCGATAAGGCTTAACAAACGTACAAATCTAACTCAGTCAGAACTACTAGCAAGATGGTTTTGTGTGACCGGTCTCAAGCAGTCCCTTTGGCCTAGTGTTAACACTCAATGACCATCAAAACTACGAATAACCCAGTTCAATTTTCTGATAACCCACAAAGAAATATCCTTCCACAGTGTGAGAAACCCTTTGTGGCCCTCTGATCTAACTCCAATTCGATCGAACAAAATGAATATGCCATGTATATTAACGTTCCATCCTAATTCAATATATTACTCCTGGGCTAACCCTGTTTGTGAAACGGCGGTGTTAAGTTGGATGAATTTATTTCAAACAGATATTAAAAATGAGAAACGCAGAGAAGGTAAGTCTGACGATTCTCTTTGACCAAATGTGACTCAATATTTATAGCCAGAAAAAAAGCTAAAGATGTGATGAACAGGGTAAGCAATACACACATACCCTCATACAAAAAACAGTAAAGTTTAATAAGCGAATAATCGACAAGGTCAAAATGCAACTCAAGAAGAATAAATAAATTGATCTCTCCAGAAGCTAAAATAATCCATGTAAGCTTAAAATAGTACTAAACATTACAAACCTTTGACCGCACTCGAGTAATCAATACTCTGCATTACCTTCTCCAATGTTAGTTCCGAGCAAAAGTTCTAATCTCGACTAATTTTGATGTTTTCTGAACTCAAGCTCAAGAGAACGATTTTATTCTTAAAAAATGTTCGATACATACAACAAAATTATGCATCGGAAAATATACCATAAGATATGTTTATAGTCAAGGTGTTATATCGAGTCGTTGCCGATTGTTATGACTGGTGGTCAACTGTTATAACTGCGTCACCAATTGTTATGTCGGAATCGCCTATCACTTATACTTGTAAAACAAGGAGCCATTGCGATTCCCACGACTCGGAAGAAAGAACACAAAGACTAGTACAAATAAAGATTTATTAACCCCAAAACACGACAACGATGGCCGTAGTCGAAAATACACTCATAGATTGATTGTAAACCTATTTTGATTGTTAATTAGGATGAAATTACATACATAAAAAATGCAGTTATCCTGAGTGTCATGCTGAGCACAATTCATGTTGATTTAATACAAGAATATCGTATCTCGAACAAAAATTACAATGGGTAAAAGAACGTAATTTCGCTTTTTAATTCCAACATTTCACCAGGCCAATTTATTATTTTAGTCATGTTGACTCGTACTTTTTGTCTACTTAGTTGTATATTTAATCTAAAATGTAATAGTACAAGCTATCTAACGACATGTCGTACATTATGTTCGCAACCTATTAAACGTTACTTTAGAGATCTGAACAAATTACAGCTCTACCTTTTAAAAAATGTAAATTATTTTAATAGCTAAATTACAGTAGGTCAATATCCTAAACACTCAAGATCATATCTTTTGGGAATCGGTATATAAGTGTAATCATCAATAAGTGATTAGACTACAGTTACTTCCACCTTTCAAAAATCGTCTTTTGGGCTTGTATTTCCCATTGTTGATACTTATGTCTGTAGACATAAGTAGCATAGACCACAAATGTATATAGTTGGAATTTTTTATGGCCATCATATACGATAGAAGTCGTTAGTTTTGTGTATAAAGTTACTTTGATATATGGAATATGTTAAATGATATTTTATGAAGCTGTTGGATAATAATAATCTGCAGATTGTTGAATGTGTTGTATCTAATCATCTATTGGCTGTAAACTGTGTTAATATGACGCGTTTTACAAGTCAGGTCTCTGATGCCACCGTTCTTTCCCTCTTCCTGTACTAAATGTTTATTTTATTGTAATTTTTAGCTTGGTTGACGTATATTGTCGTGATGGAGGTAATATTGGGGGAAGTGCAACGCTTGTGTCTAGTTTATAGATTATCTTTTATATAATTGTACTTCTATGTTTTCCTTGTTGTAAGCTTCCAGTAAATCTATTAACTATTGTTGTATGACTTATTGTTCCTCAATTATGTACTGTTTGCTACATTCTCTGCCACTTATAGCACATCTGAGGTGCGTTGCGGTCCGATAACTCAAGTATATAGACTAATGTGTGTTTGAGATAGATGTAATGGATGCCTAAAATATGTAACGGAAGCTTGGCTGATGTCTTCTTTTATTCAGGGCCCAGGTTGGGAATCAACGGACCAATATGGGTCAAGCGAACATTACCCTCAGCCCGTAGATAACTGTGTTGGCCGGCACATATCACTAGTCAAGGCTTGGGACGCTAGACATATACGGAAAAATACAAGCGGAGTGATGAAATTATAATCGGAATTTCGATTGGCGAATCTAGCAAGTGATATTTATTAACGTCTCAAATATAACAAGTGCTATTCTAGTGAACTAATAAGATTTGATTTAGTGACTCTTGGATTTGTGCACAAGATTTAAACTCAGTGGGATGTAGCTTGTATCGTATTAGGAGCTAAGTAGAAATTACCTAGATATTGTTCCTAATATGATTAAAACTGGTAGACGCTTCTAAATTTCAATCACACATGGAATGTAACATAGCATGTTAGTTAGAATAAAAACATACTCCTGTAGTAATCGTAACTCAAAATTTATTTACTCGTTTAGTTTATCTGATGTGATTCAAAGAGTAGCCAGAGTTGTTTGAGTGGCCGAAAAGTATTCTTCACCATAACCTCAACTCTAAATCCTAACCGTACCACAGTTACTGGTTCTTAACCCTAAATTTTTCTCATTTATGATGATAAATAGCTGGACATGTATTCTTATTGCGTTTTTTCTCACTATGAATCGATTTGTAACTAAGGTATTTTTTGTGAGTGGCTGATGAGTAGCCTAAGGTCGTCAGTATAGTATGCTTTTATTCTTAATTTCTATCGTATTTAATCCACCGTGCGATTGGTTACCTTCCACTTCTTAAAAATGACCTGGACTTCATGAAATTTATTTCAGGCTAGAATGTCCATTATTTCCTGACTGTACGAAACTCTTGCTCTACTTTCTGACTTCGCCTATTATTGTCATCGTTGTAATGTCTGGATAACTTTAGATTCGGAGAATTTTCTAGTAGGGAGCGCCGATATTGAAGGCATCTAAATGATCACCCAATATACACTTATTTTTTAGTATCGTAATTGAAATATTTGGATTCATTAGAATAAATGTCGAATTGGTGTATTCATGTTCTAAACATCAGCGCGTCAATTAATTTTTCTTAGATATCACCAACTGTAAATAACCCAGATCTTGTTTTAATTAACGTATATCATTAAAGAAATTGGTTTAGGTATTTAATTTACTGAATAGGTTGTTAGTAAGTAATTTAGTGTGTGTTAGCTGAACTTTCACAAGTAGGTATTTACATATGTTTTCTGATATTTTAGTCGTTTACAATAGTTCATGTTCAAAACAATTCATA